GTTCGTGTCACGGCTGACCCAAGGGACCACGGCAGCATGGACGCTCAGGTCTGAGGGCAGGAGCAGGTCCCTCCAGCACCACTGCCTGCAGCTCCTGGGTAAAAGCAGCTGCAGGGCCTTTAGCCAGCTCTGAGGACAAAGTCAGTTCACCGAGAAGAGGCAGTCGTGGACACGCAGACGGCGTTCAACCACGTTTTTCTCTCCACAAGTTCACCCACAAGGTTGTGTCTTTATCCTGGCCTGTCCAGCCGGCCCCACTGAACACCTCACCTGCCAGAAGTCTCCATCTAGCACGGACCCATCCCCACCACAGTGAATTCCCGTGTATTCAGGAAGGTTTTTGCCCCGATTAGGAAGAGGCAGGCTCAGCCTCCGCCTTTTCCCTCCAGTTTACCAAAAGCCACAATGCGCTGGGGTGGAGGAGCCAGCACGTTTCAGCACACCGGCTCACACAGCCACCCGAGAGAGGAAAACTCAGGTCGAGAGCAGCGTGAGCGGATAATCAGAACATAAATCTCTGGGAGATTAAACAAATCCTCCAGGAGATTAAATTTGTTTTCTCCTCAGGTTATTTCATTATCTTCTCTGAAAATCACCCAAACTGATCCGGCCCCGGCACAGATAACCCTGGGGGCTACAGTAAACTAGCGAGGCAGCTTGCCAGGAACAGCAAAGCTTTCCCCTACAGCATGGGGAAATGCAAGGAAAGCAAGACCAACTCTCATGCTCCTTCCTCTCTTCGTATCCTAAACCCAACAGCCCATGCTCGTCAGCTTCCACCACTATATTCCCCTCTTGTGCTCCAGATCAGGCAGAGGAGAGCTAGGATCCAAATCACCCGCAGAGGAACATGCAGGACACCTCAACTCATCACCCGTCCCACCAAAGCCAGCTGAAACACCAGCCATCGAGAAGGAGAAGCGTTTACTCTCAGCTGGTCCATCAAGCCCAGAACACCTCCTCCCCGGCTCGGCTCCCAACAGCCCAGGAGCTGCTCTAACGCTGGAGTGAAGGGAGCCAAATGAAGCGCGATCCACGCGTGGCGTGTGAATCACGACCAAAACCCTTCTGCAGCTTCAGCTGAAGCCATATGCTCAGAGTCGGGCTCGGCAGGCAGCACAGGGATTCCCGCGGAAGTGGGGGGGGGAAACCAACGTCATCTGGCAGGCACGCTGGCTGTGGAGGTGAACTTTGCTTGCCGTCAGCTACCAGAGTGACTCGCAGCTCGGGGGAAGCACATCAAATCCAGCCCACAGCATCTCGGCTCGCTCCCAAAGGTGTCGAAAGGATGGGATAACACACACCAAGGAGAAACCCTTGTGTAACGGGCAAAAACCCAGCGGATAGGCACAACACGCAGCCTCTGGTAACTGAAATCGGGGCGTTCTATGCATGCTCCCTAGCTTGAGAGGCTGAAAAATCCCCAGCTCTGAAAGGCTGGAGGGAAATCAAGTCCTTACCTTGTGGGTCAGCTTTCTTGAAGGCATTGCCTGCGTCCACAAAGTTGGTGGCTGCGTCGTGCTTGCTCTGCAGCTGCAGGTGGAGCTGTGCCGCCTGGCAAAAAGCATTCCCTGCGGCTGGAGAAGGAGAGGAAGCTCAGGAGCATCGTCTTAACCATTTCATAGAGATGGGATGGAAAAGCTAGGTGCAGGCAGGTTAGTCAACTCAAAATCAAGCTAAAATAAGCCAGCAGCATTGAGCCTGTGCCGGCTTTCAGACCCAGAGGTGTTCACTCCTCCCTGGAGAAGGTGAGGAGACTGCACCCCCAGCTCAGGGAAACAGCTCACAGCCACACGTGTACGTACCGCTCCAGTTTTTGGCCATTTTGAACATGTTTGCTGCTCGGGCGTAGATGTCGCATGCTTCCTCTATCCTGGAGGAGCCCCTGGAAGCAAACAGAAGCCAGGCATTGCATAAATGCCTGCTGGGAAGCTCAAACCCTGTGCCTGAGCAAAAAAAAAAAAAAATCGCATTGCTTCACTCCAGCTGCCAACAAGAGCAAGAGAGGCTCCCTGGGGCGAGCTGCTGACACAGCCGAGTCTCTCCCAGCTCGAGGGGCAGAGACCGGGCCCCTGCAGCACTCTCTTGGGAAGCTGCAGTTAAAACAGAGGCCAACAGGGAGAAAAAAGCGGGTTTGCTGCCTGCTTGCTCCGAGCCAAAGCTCACAGATGGCCCAGTAGCTCGCACGGCCAGAGAAGCCATGCTCACAGCCATGGGGAAGAATCCCAACCCTTCCCTGCTCTAAATCTCCCTGCTGACAGTGGGAGCTGGGTCAGTCCTTCACAGAAGCACTTTTTTATTAATAATTAACGAGCAGAGGAATCACTCCCGCAGCAAAGGGGTGAAGTGCCAGTCCCAAACGAAACCACGTTGCTCCTTTCGGCGAAGCCCTAGCTCACAGCCCTCCCTCTGCCACCGGGGGCACAGCCAGCACCCGCTGCAGTATCCTCCCGGCCCCCAAAACAGCCTGAGGGGAGTGAGGAGGGAGCCAGCTCATCCAACAGTGACCTGTTTTTGAAATGCAGGGTCTGCAGGACAGCAGCACCACCTTCCAGCTCTCCAGCTCTGCTAGAAAGCGCATTCCTCTACCGACCTCACCGATTTTGATTAGAAATCCTGGCTGGTGACTCAAGGGAGCTTATTACAGTCATATTTGTGTTTTGGAGGCTTTTTCTAAGCACAAGCTTGGGCAGTTTTGCTCACGTTTCCTCCCTTTCACTAGAAACCTGCAGTCAGAGACATGGCAGGGGCCTGGCAGGAGCGACTCGCCAGAGTCAGCAGCTCCACCAGTTCAGATTGGTTTGAGCAGCAAAGTTCTCCCGCTCCCCTAAAAAAATAAGGAAAGCATCAAGGCAGCCGCTCCGCCCAAGGAACAAACCGCGTTCCCAGCGATGCCGTCCCCACTGAACGCCGGCTGATAAGCGGGATAAAAGGGCAATAAGCATCTGGCGGATTTCGGCAGCCAGACTTCACGTGCGCAGGGCTGATGACGGCTTAAGGCTGTTTGAGACGACCATGGAGATCTCAGAGCTTTACAAAACTGCCTTTTAACTCAAGAGAATCCCAGCTGCGATTAGAAATTGCCGTTTAATACCTAAATGCTTGAGTTTTCCATCTCATGTTAATTTGGAGCTACTGAATAACATTAAGGAGGGCGAGCTGCAGGAAACGCAATGGCACGGCGAAGCAAAGGGCAGCAGAAACCACTGCTGTGGTCCCTCTCATGCACAAAACCTGTCCCCAGCATCTCCTTCCCAACCACAGCCCCAGGAAAACAAACCTCCCCCTTATCAGGCAAGGGATGGGCTTGCTCTTGTTTATGAAATCACCCTGTTAAAGCCAAATTTTGCAACATTAAGCAAGGGGCACCTCTCGTTTCTCCCCTAGCGCTGGAGTTGTGTAAAGCCGGAGTTAAAGCCAGGCCTGGTCAGGCAGCATGGGCATGAAACCGGCCTGGTCTGTGCACAGAGATGAGTCTGAGCAGCACCAAGGGGACAAATCAAACCCCTGGGGTTTGTCCTTCGCCAGTACGATGAGGGGCAGGGGGGAGCAGAACTCCGTCAGCCCTGACGAGCCCCCACAGAGACGCACCACCAGCCAGGACTGTGCATGGCAGAATTTAAAGTTTAACACCCCCCCCCCCCCCCACCCACAA